GCTTAGATTATGTCATAACCGTGAAAAATATTGGGTCAGGTTACACGATCAAAATCATAGTGGGCTGCACGATAATGTTTGTTATAGATGAGTGAATTAATATTTTTTATTTTTTAAATAAAATTTTTGTTTTATCCAGCCCCTTTAGAAAGTTATGTAATTAAACTCTGACAGCAAAGAAAGAAAATAAAAGGATGAAATTAATCTATTTATCAAGGTTATTTATTACATGTAATCATCTTATTTACTTATTCAAATGCGTCGAATCCTCCCATATGAATAATGAATTTAAAGAAACAAAATTTGATTTCATTAAAAAAACATTTATATTTATGATGTTACGCTAAACCATTATATACATTCACCATTAAAAAGAGACAAACCCACCCATAATGTTTACAATTTTTTCCCGCCAATGAATCGCCATCACATTTTACCTTTAATTAATACACGCCTTCTTATTAATTTTTTACACTAAATTTGATGACGAGTGGGGTGGTATTAGCAGTTATATTAGGAAAAGTAGATGATGGTGATGATTATAAAATAAAAATTTGTAGCTGAAACTGGTGTCCCACTACTTTTTTGTCGCAAGGATTGAAGTTGCTGCTACCACCGCAACCATTATTGTTACTATCGCCTATAAAATGATGTATCTTCTTGTTAAGAAAATATTCTCCATCCAGTTCCAGAAAATGTCAATCAAAGTTGCAAATACACATAATCCTCCGATAATTATCAACAACAATAGCCCTCCAGTGATAATGGATGCCGTTGATTCATTTGCCCTGGAAATAATTAACGTGACACCGGAGAAACATAATGGTAATAAATTTTTTGAAAATCATAAAAATAGATTAAAGGTCGCATAAATTAAAATAATAATATTTAATTAATAAATATGGGAATTGTTATTCGCACTCCTCCCGTGACTAAGACAAAGATGAACCAATAAAATCGTCACATTTTAAAGCCATTCATTGGCTACTTACTACACTTAGTCACGGGAGGGGCGGAATAATTTTCTAAATATACTAATACGTACCACTTATTATTAAATATAAACATGTTTCTCCAGTTTCTTCCCCACATCAGAACCAAAAGAATATATTATAGATTAACTAATTTCTACTTAGTCTATTCCATCGTCATGCATGCACGCATTGAAGATATTCAACCAATAAAAAAAAAATCGCTGGTTAGTAATTTTAAAATTCACAAAAAAAAATTATGTTATATTATTACGTATATAAATATTATAAATATTATAATATTATTATATATGAAAAACATAGTGATTTCCAAAAGGATACATTTATTCTAGCATATATTATGGATATTTAATAGGGGCTTTAATAAAAAAATGGATTTTGACATATTTATATTTAATATAAAAAAACTAAGCTTTAGGCAGAAAATTTATTGTTTAAAAGGTTTTTTCGTAATAAAAACAATAAAACAAAAAAAAAAATTTTCTCCGTCAATCTTTATATATAAAATCCTTGGGGAAATCTGGCGAAAAATTTTTTTTTATTGGTTTGGATGCAGTGTAATACAGTCAGTAATATGTGTCAATTGAGCAATTTTCGTCAATTTTAGTTAACATAATAATAAACGGATTTTGATGATATCTGATATTATATTTTTTTTTATTCTATGCGAAAAAAAAATTTTCTTTGTGAAACAAATAGAAATAATTAATAATAATAAATAATAAATAAAAATAAAATTTAAAATTATTCCGGAATATACATCAAAATCTAATTCCGGTAACATTAATTAATTTTATTAATTAGAAATTATATCAAAAAGATTTCTGTTTATATTAAATTTAACTATTGTTAAAAAAAAAAAATTTTTTTATAATAAATCATTAAAGGGTATGGTAAACAATACAATTAGAAAGAATTGTTTATGCGACCATTATCATTATCATTATCATTATCATTATCATTATAATTATAATTATAATTATCATTATCATTATTAAATCCTTCCTTTGATTATTCGCTATCAATAAATAAAAATTTACTATTGTTATTTAAATAAAACCATCTAAACAAAGTAAACACAGTACCTGAACAGAAGAATCGGACACCCTAAATGTGTCAATTACACAAAAATTTTATATATTAATATCAGTTTATAGCTTGAGTTCTGAAAATCATTTGAAAAATTTTTTTAATATATTATGAGGGTCAGAAGTTCAAAACATGTTATTATATAGCCTTTCATCAAAAGATTTTTCCAAAAATGATCACGTTTCTTTTATTTTAGTTAGGAATTGAGTAACAAAGATTTTTAAATGCACAATCTTCAGTATCTATCAGAATCTATTAATTGACCACGGTTTTTGTGTAATTAATACATTTGAGGTGTCCGAATTCTGTCAACTGTGGCTTTTATTGCTTTCCCTAAATGAAATAACCATAACCCCAAGCTGGTTTTAAAGTGCTTGACTAGTTTGACTAACAAAAGTTGGGGATATACTTTTAAAATTTTATTTATTTATTTATTTTTTGAAATTGAGCTCACTCTTTCTCTCCCTAAAATTTTCTCAAAAAAATTATATATTCAAATAAATTAATAAATAAATAAATAAATAAATAAATAAATAAATAAATAAATAAATAGATAGATAAATAAATAAATAAATAATAAATAAATAAATAAACAAACAAGCAAACAAACAAGCAACAAACAAACAAACAAATAAAGCGAGTAATATAAAAAGTCTTTAGCTTGATTCATTATTTGGGGGGAAATGTGTGCATGAATCGGGAAATTGGTTATTTAATTGAACGTAATCTAATTGTATTGTTTGTGTTATACTAATATATATAGAAAGTAGAGTTTGTACCCGCTGAAGATATTAATTCGATAATTAAATCAACTATTCAGTGAATGATTATTCATTGATTATACAGTGAATGTTCATTATTAACAATAAATTAATAATTTTACATTCTATCAAAATTATTTCAAAAAACAAATCTTTTCAAATAAAAGTTAGTTAAATTTTGTTCTTTTGAGGTTAATCTGGCTAAATAATCTCTCGCTTGGAGCGGACGTTGTAGGTGCACACAAGTATTTAGTTGACAAACAGGAAATCTATTGTTATTATGTTTCCATCACAAGAATGGACCATCTTTCCATATCCAACTTGACCACCCTTTTCTTCAACATTATTGTATTGTTGCTTTCTCTTATTATAGTGACTGTAGGCCCTTTTTCCATTTTAAATGAATGGAAGTGAAATAATTAATTTAATTAATTAGAAATGGACAAACAGAATTTATTTGGACATGAAAAATTTCAATTCAGTTGTTACGCAAGATATTGGATTCAACAAAATATTTATTGAATGCAAGCTTCTAACAAAAAGTAAAAAAAACCAAATAATTAAGTGAATATTCTATATTTGATGATTTGGCTTATTACATTTTAGCATTTAAGGAAATCTGTTTATCTTGTGATTAATATTGCGAATTACAGTGATAATGACGACAGTGACGACGACAAGGACACGGTGCAATTTTCATTACTATTTATAAATTATTATTATGGGGTTGTTTCAGATTTTGACTTATTGAGTACAATAAATCATAAAAATAGACTTGAGCCAGAAACCTACCTGGTAATTAATTGATTACTCCACTTTATTATATATATTATAATAAATAAAGATATTCTATATCCTTTTTATTTAATTTTCAAATTTGGATACTTGACAATTCTCATTATTTATATTGCTTATTTATGTAAACATATATATATGTGTTATATTCCTACAAAGAATAAATAAAATTTTTTAAATTTTTTTTTTGTTTTAGTATAAATTTCAATTTTATTTAAAAAATTTTGTTAATTCAAACTAATAAACTTATTGAAGAATGAATACAAGGAACCTTACACTTGTTACAGTAACTACTACTCCAACAATAACAACTGTTGTCAACACAACAACAGCAGTTGATCTAAATGTTGAAAGCTTTTTTAACGGAACTCGAGGTTTATTTGAAAATAATAATAATAATAATAATAATAATAATAATGAAAATAATAATAATAATAATAATAATAATAATAATAATAATAATAATAATAATAATCTGGACCAATTTAATTATATGCGTGGCAATAAGTTTTGACAAGAAATAAATAAGATCTTGAAGGTAATTTTATTTAATGTATTATATGCCACGTTTATATATTAATTTTAAAGTTACCAACCCAAACAACTTTTTTATTATCATTTTTAGCAAGCACCGAATAATACTAAGAATAAGTTTAATAAGCATTATTATGAATATGTGTATATACTGCAATATTTATATATTATGAATGTGTGTATATAATTTATACATTATAAATGTTATTATATCAAATATTACATTAACCATGTATTAATTAACTATTATGTAAACTTTAAAAATTATACTTTATTTAAGCAAATGAAAATTCCTTTATCCAACTTTTTAAACTATCTGTAAATCGGAATTTCAAACAAAATTCATGGTTTTTAAAATCTCCTGTATTAAATCATAATAAAATAATTAATATTAATAATGATATATAATCTTGTGTTATATTAATTTATTTGGATCATGCCAGCCAAGAGGGATATTTAATGGAAAAAGTATATAAAATTTGAAATATTGTGGATTCATTCATATATTAATGATTCAAAACATTTTATTCTTTTCACTTCATATGGGAGGTTTGAATATTGAGTAATTTATTATCCTTATCATATAACAACCCTAAAAAATATGTTATCCCGAGAAAAGTCTACATTTCACTCATCCCATCTATAACAGACCTTTCTATAACTAATACTAAGTAACAAACTTCTTTTTTATCTCTCTCTATTGCCATAGTGAATAAGGCACAAAAAATATTTATATGACAAGAAGGTTCGTTATAGAGATTGAATTAATATATGTATGTTTATATATAAATTTATATAAAATACCCCAATATTATATAATATATATAATGATTTTAAAGTCATTAACCAGCTTTTTTTTTATCATCATTGTTATCATCAATGCGTGCATGCATAAATGATGTCATAGTACAAGGAATATGTTTAAATTTGTTATTTCCTAATTCATATGGTTGGTTTGACATGGTCTAGGCCTCCAAAGAAAACATTTACCACACCTACCTCGGTTACACGACAAGGTTTTTTTAAGATATTTCCTTATTTTCTACCAATCATGGGGGTTCTGGGTTGGGATTAGCTCCAATTGCTGTGTTACGTGGCCAACTTTCCAAAAATAGAGCTCTACATATATTAATATATATAGTAATAATTCTGTACTTGCTTGTTCTCTAAATCATATAATTTTTTAAAAAAAATACCGTGTTCTCTCTATATATTAAATATGTATAAAACGTTGGATAGCTAGAGGTACTGTCTTCAATTTAGGGCTTCTGTTCGAATAAGGTTTATTCGTTTTATTCGTTATTATTATGAATTTGAGTATTCGAATTACATTGAATAAATTTTTTAATTCGAATAAATTTTTTAATTCGAATAAATTTTTAATTCAAATAAATTTTTTAATTTGAATATAAATTTTTAATTGGAATAAATTTTTTAATTTGAATATAAATTTTTAATTTGAATGAAATGAACAACAATAATAAAAATTAATAATAATAATTCGATCCAATTAAAATTTTTTCTTTATCAATCTATTTTTCCTTAATAAATAGTAGTAGCCGACATTTTCCTTAAGTCATGGTACTAGCAATTATAGTAATAATATAGATTATAAATATAATTATTGTTTATATTATCTTGTTAAAGAAATAAGACCTATATTTTATAAAATGAATAAACTAGTAATTTGGAAAAATACAT